GGTCTGAGTGTATGTGTTAACAGTCTAGCTCAAAAACCAAATGTCGTACGGAAATGAAAATGCATATTTAAGGTTTTTATACGCTAGGGATGTTATAGCAACTTTTTTCAACCCGAAACCTTTTTTCTTTCATAAAAATGACGATAATTACTTTGGAAAAAGAGAAAGAAACTAACTATCTATATGAAATGGTGTTTAAATGATTCCTTAAGTCATTTTAAATGTAATTACACGAACAATAATAAATAAAGAGATCATTTTTTTTTCATAAAACATGGTTATATTTTACCATTTGGGGAGGGCTTCAATCGGAAAGCCCTCCCCCGTAGATCCGCCCATGACCGGAAGTGGACTTCCCCTTTGTCTGTAAATACTTATTTCTGTTAATAAGAGGGTGGTAAGTGAAAGTTGTTTGATGGGCGCAACGCATCAGATGTTTTTTTTTTTTTAACATTGAACTGTTCGAGTTTTTATTCAGTTTGCTTTAAAGATAAAGTAATCTTGGCTCCTCTGAACCAATTGGGAAATTGGTTTCGATTTCGGGTAGTTTCTTTTGACGAGATTTTGAATTTACGGAGAGAACCATAACAGAGAAGTGCAATTGTAAATGATCTACGTTTTTTTCTAATTCGTTTGTACTGTTTATAAGCAGAGGAGAGCGATCAAATTTCTTGGGACGGAGGGGGGGGGGGAGGGGGGTTACACCTGATTTCAATATAGTATGTTGTACACACAGGCGGATCTGCGGGGAGGCTTTCGGGCTGAAGCTCCCCCCAAAATGGTAAAATATAAACATGTTTTATAGAAAAAAAATATTAAAAACTATCTCTTAAAAAATTATTGTCCGTGTAATTACATTTAATAGGACTTCAAGAATCACGTAAACACTATTTCATATATGTAGTTAACTTCTTTATTTTTTTTCAAATTAATTATCGTTTTATATAAATGAAAAAAAAATCTTTCGGGCTGAAGCCCCCCAAAATAAAATCCTGGACCCGCTAGTGGTTGTACACGTTTTTGTTTAATTCTAACGTCCTTAATTATTTAACACGTTAGCTGCTGAGCATGATATCTCTTAAATCTCTTTCCCGACGATATCGGCCTCCGGCGAATGACACTAGTTAAGAAGTTCTAAACGGCATCGGATGCCGTAGACATACATCAGTTTCAAGGTACACCGTTATTTTTTTACAACAAAGGTGAACTAAATTTCCTATTTAGAGTCTCTATCTGTTCATTGTGTCCTCATTAATGGCCAGCAATCGTAGGAGAGGAGTCCGACGTCCAATACCGTTTATATGAAGAGTTTTTTATTATTTCTTATTATTTTAGTAAGCAAGTATTATTTGTAGCGATATAAATCTTAAATATTGAAAATGAAACGAGAAAAAGTTTATTTAATACATATAATTATAATTTTCAAGATATAATTTATACATATTGAATATTTAATAGTTGACCGTTGCATTATAAAGAAAGGAGATGGTCCGTGGTGGCGGTCATAAATAGGCTGAACAGTGGAAAAACTATTTTATTAAAAGCCAATGTTTCGACTCGACTTTGCAGGTCTTCTTCAGGGCTAGAACTTAAAGATACAAAAAGATAGAGAATTGTAGAAGTAACATAATACTATGACAAAAGATTATAAACAATGTGAATAAGCTTATTAAAATTATAAATAGTAAGTACATTAAAATATAAACAGAGTAAGCTAAGTAACAAGATCCTAAACTGAAGTGACTTCATTTTGAACTGAAGTGACTTGAAATGAACTAAACTGAAGTGACTTCACTTTAAGATCTTGTTACTTAGCTTACTCTGTTTATATTTTAATGTACTTACTGTTTACAATTTTAATAAGCTTATTCACATTGTTTATAATTTTTTGTCATAGTATTATGTTACTTCCACAATTCTCTATCTTTTTGTATCTTGTCCGTTCTAGCCCTGAAGAAGACCTACCTGTCGAAATGTTGCCTTTTAATACAATAGTTTTTCCACTATTCAGCCTATTTATGACCGCCACCACAGACCATCTCCTTCCTTTATAATTAATACATTATTTTTATATGTATGTTATTTATACATGTTAAATAAGCAAGGCGAATAGTCTTAGATGAACTCCCAAGAACTACTGCGCGACAGAAGACCGAAGATGACAAGACCACGCATGTGCACTGTTCTGCCACAACAGAAATATGTATTGGACGCCTGGGGATGATACCCGAGTGAAATCATTTTTTATCAGTATGGTACGGTATCGATCCACGGCGTCCAAAAACTTGTTATCGGATATAATGATTATTTTCGCTCGTATCTTTATATCTATCCAACTCTCATTCAAATATTTTTAAGAATAACCATTTTAGAGATTTCGTATGAGAGACAAAATTCGAAACAATCCCGTCCGTTTGGTAGTCGAAACGAATATCGGACCACCGGGACCGTAACCGCAGCTAACGTGTAAAATAAATTTATAACCAAAATATATAGCCACAATTATCTATTCACTTGATACCAACAACCCAACCAATCCTAATACTTAGATGTTCACAGAGGCCCAGAATTAAACTAGTTTATACTTCAATTCAAACCTGTGGTCCACCAGATCCAGGATTTAATTTTTGGGGGGCTTCAGTCCCAAAAGATTTTTTTTTTTATAAAAATATCGATAATTACTTTGGAAAAAAATAAATAAACTAACTACCTATATGAAATGGTGTTTAAGTGATTCCTAAAGCCCATTTAAATGTAATTACACCAACAATAATACTTAACAGAAAATTTTTTAATATTTTGTTCCATAAAACATGGTTATATTTTACCATTTTGGGGGGGCTTCAGCCCCAAAGATAACCTCTCCCCCTCCTCCCACCTCGCATCTATTTCTTTCTTAAGAAATACTTCACCTTCAGTTGTTATTCAAGGTCTTGAAAAGAACAATCTATTAACCAATAATCCGGCAGAATGTTAGTTGGTAGTTTTGATGTGTTAGGCGTGAAACATCTAGATCATTTCTTTGTTTTGTTTTTTTTTTACAAACATATTGAATAATAATACAATCTACCACATTGAAGGGAAACAAATGTTTGAGATATTGGTTCATAAAATGTTAATGAGCTTCATTCATAAAATATATACATACTAAAGATTAAATAAAATAGAATTTAAATAAAGAAATAAATTGTATAAAAAATAAATATAAATGATAATCATAAATAAATAATAAACAAATTCAGAAACAAAATTATTGAAATAAAATAAATCTTCTTAAATACATTCATCTTCTTCTTCTGACACTACAGACCGAAGTGGTCCTTGCTTTAACATCTGTTGCCATAGAGTTCTGTCCTCTACCATGCGGATGCTCAACTGTCGCATGTCCTATTCCACCTTCTCCTTCCATTGTGCCCTTGGTCGTCCCTTTGGTCTAGTGGCAAAGATCCTCTCTGTGTAGACCTTCTTCACCTGTCTATCTTCACTTATTCGGTTGACATGGCCATACCATAAATACATTGATACCTATGTACAACATTTACATTCTCTCAGAGAACTCTAATCCAAGGTCTGTCCAATACATATGGAAGGAAAAGCAGACTTCTGGAGATCCCAGGACTGCTCTCCCAGTAGAGTCATTGGTACTGGAAGCCGATACTGAAAGAAGGCACTGCAGCCAAACGCGTAATTTATTTATTATAGAATATTCATAAAAGAAAATTTAAAACTTTATCTTAGATAGTTGAGGAAATGAAATCATGTTGGTGTATTATTTTAAATCTTTATTTCTTAGAAATAAATATAGAATGATAGATTGTTCTAAAAAATCAGTAGATTTATATATACTAATTTTAAACCAATTAATCTACCTTCCTAAAAATTACTTAAGGTTATTTCGCACTTCTTGAAAATATTATGAAATTCTTTATTTATTTGCATTCATATTATAAATCATTAACTTTATCCAATATCATAAATTATTAAAAGTTTATCAATTTGTTTATATATATTTGTTATCAATTAATATCTCTTTTTTTCCTAAGAAAGGATTAAAATTCAAAAGTAACACATTAATCAAATATTCTTGTAGAAATATATTATACATCATTATAGTACTCAATAATATATGACATAGAGAGAATGAAATGACCGACTGGTGAAAGCATAGGTGCAGACTTTCCATTCTGGTTGGAGAGGGGGGTCGATGGACCCACATTTAAAAAGAACTTTGTCTATTTAATTAGGTACAAAAAACTAGTAAATATCCATTTGCTTTCCAACTTGGATCGTAAGATAATTTGATCACAAAATCGATAAAAAAAGTAGCCTACAAAAATATTGGGCCGTTTGTCCTACATAACCTGGTTATTTTGAAAATTTGGGGGAATAGGTCACGCCAAAGGGTTGAATATTTTTGTATGCAACCTTTTTTTCTCGAATTTGTCATCAAATTATCTCACGATCCAAGTAGGAAGTAAATGTGCATTTAAGAGTTTTTAGTACCTAATTAAATAGACAAAGTTTGCCCCCCTCCAGATTGAAAACGCTCCAATTCCAAGAGTTTTCATAAATAAAATAGTTGTATGTTACGATGAGATGAAACTATTTACAAAGTTTCAGGCGAATATTAATAATTCGATAAAAAGCGGTCTGTACCACGGACTATACATTTTGTAAATTGTAAATAAATTTAAATAAACTTATTATTATAATTAATATAAACTAAAACTTCAATAATAATATTAATAATAATATATGACATGGTAAAATAATTGCCCACTTAGTTCCAGGCTTTAACTTCTAGTTTAATCTAGTCGACTATTCCTATTTCCAATTGCAGATTGATGGTTGACTGTAGTGAATATTGAAGAATGGTTAGAGTGATCAGATTATAATCCAATTATGAACTAAATAGAATGAGCAGTATTAACTAGATGGCTTGAAAATAGCATCATAGCCGAAACGTAGCCACTGTGGAGGAGAAATAAAAACAAATGTGGTGATACATACAGCCTTTATTTATATAGTAAAATATAATTTCATCTAAAATATAAACATACATTGAAATTCTTTCTTCAAAATTCTTCATACTTCGTATGACTGCTGTCTCTGTACAAATGGTGAAACAGTAGAAACATAGAGTTCATTGTCCACTCCACCATTATTAGGCAGATTAGGTTAGTGATTAACTAGCGGTTATCTGGTTTCTAACCACCCTCCACGATTGACCATCCAATTCTAAAGTGATTTCCCGATATATATATATAATATAATATGAAGAATATAAATTTTTAACTATATACTTGAAGTTCGGCAAAGTATCACATATATTTTGAAAATTTGACATTTAAGCCCAGTCAGTCTATTTCAACTCTGCATAATTTTATAAATTTTGTCAAACTTGGTTATTTGGACTCAGAGATCTTAAAATTAGAATTTCTGTCAAAAATTTGGATTCAAAGATTTTTCATGAGAGCAATAATTTACCTTATTAAATATTTGATAAAAAGGCAAGTAAAACTTAAATAGGTTAGATAAATGATAATTATTATTTATATTCTAACTCATTTTTAAGGATATATTATAGAAAGCAATGTTTTGCCTACAATTTGGATCCTTTTAGCATATTAATAGCAATGCCTGTTGCTGTCTTGGCTGATCCTGGGGAAGAAGTGACTCCGTAGCCACCATGACCATAATGGTGAACAACCTGAAAACAAACGGTATCAAGATAAAATTTTAAAAATTAAAATACTGAGAAGAAGTGGATAGGATTAGAACAGGTTATTTAAAAAATATATATACCTTTTTTATTATGCTAATGATGAATAATTTAATATGGCAGATATTTAAACAGTTCACTTTTAACAGAAATAAAATTGAAATTATGTTTAAATATTCATAAATTATTTTATTTTCCCAAGCTTTCTTTATAGTGACACGGGTATCGACAACATATTTACAAAAATTATACATCGCCTAGAAAACCTAGAAATGTTTTGAACTAAATTGGGCTCAGGTCTACATCATTCCAGCTTGAACTAATCATCAATAAAGCCTTGATCTACTTGAACCCAATCTGGTAGTCTTCCAGAAAAACTCTTCTTTCAAGGTGAAGAGTATCGGGCACACAATAGCTATCCAACACAAATGAAAAATCTTTGCAGTAAGTCTGATTACCACAAATTATGATTTCTTTCTTATCTGTGGAATTCCATTTGTTTTGAAACCTCATTTGTCAAAATCCATCGCTGCTAAGAGATCAACACTATTCTAATAAGATTGGAACGTTTCCAATTTTGAGAAGTGGTCTTGACCAAATCTAAAAAATTTACATATAACTTTTTTAACAAAATTTTTTATTGGATGCACTATGCAGGATTTATAGGTGAAAAACGAAAAGAAATCTATAAATATCACAGTTTTTTTGGGTGTCAAAAGTTCTAGCAATGTAATCATGTCAGCATTCTTTTTTACATGTTTACATCTATATTGTAATGTCAACATTACATGGCATTTGAATAGTGGCGCAAAAGCGGTAACAGTATGAACTACAGGGAAGAAGTGGAGGAAGCAAGCCTCATGTAACGGAGACTGCGACGGGCCGCCAAGAGGGAAGGTGCTAGCGGCCAAGAGAGAAGATTATGAGCCGCCAAGAGAAAATGTGACAAGCTGTCAAGAGAGAAGGTACTAGCCAGCAACTTGAGAAAATAGAAACAGCCACAAAGTTTAGACTGGGACAATAAAGGTTTTTGAAAACAATATGTATAATTTCTTAATGTATGTATCTCATTTCTTATATGTATTTATTAATTGGTAAATTATAGTTATTAAATGTTGAATGAGTGTTCAGTTGTCAGAACCCAACCTGAGATTAATGTTATGTGTTAAAATAAATAATATATTGAAAAAGTAAACTCGTTGTTTTGATTTATGTTGACAAAAGGGAACGTTACAATATATATAAGTTAAAAAAAAAAAATTCGACTATATTTATCACTATCTAGCCCAACGCACTAGCGGATCCAGGATTCAATTTTGGGGCAGAGCTTCAGCCCGAAAGCTTTTTTTTTCATAAAAATGACGATAATTACTTTGGAAAAAAAGAAAGAAACTAACTAGCTATATTAAATGGTGTTTAAGTGATTCCTTGAGTCCTTTTAAATGTAATTACACGAACAATAATACTTTAGGAGATAATTTTTTAATATTTTTTTTCCATAAAACATGTTTATATTTTACAATTTTGGGGGGGGAGTTTCAGCCCGAAAGCCCCCACACCCACCCGCCCCCCGTATATACGCCCGTGGCCAACATAACAATTCTAAACTAACAAGCTTAATATTTTTAAATCAGCAGTTTAGGAATAGTATTAAAGTTCATTTTACACGGAATAATAGAATGACATTTTTCTTCATTTTAAACATAATATTAACTTTTCAACAGAAGAACATTTAACATTTTCAGAAATACATTCAAATCTTCTCCTACTTAATCTTTTCGAACCATGGGTTCATGGCTACCATACACATATGGTTGTGGGAACTAGTCAAATAAGTCAGCCTTATGGTACATTTTCTAATCCCTGGAGGTTCCTCTTCCATACTAACCAGAATGATAATGTCAAGATTCATTTTTCAAGATCATATTTTCAGGAGTGCCCATCCCCCTAAGGTCCCAACCGCTTCCCAAGATATTTTATTGCACAACTTTTCTTAAAAACAAAGTAAGGGAAAGTAGAATTAGAAAAATTGTAGATAATACACAGACAGCTGCTGTCTGTTTCATGTTTTCCCAATGTACCTTATTCTGAAACTTTTCATTCCAAAAATTAATAACCCTGTTGAAATGTTTGCCCTGAAAAATTCAAAACTCATCAAAACATTACCCCCTCAAAATTTTTTATGGCGCAGCTTGCTCCATAAAACCCTCTTCTGAGCACCCCAGCACCTTTTTATTTAAAAATCTGATTACTGCCATTTCCGTTATAATTCATCATTTTACTTTATTTAAACTAAACAGTAAAATCCTACTTCCACAACAAATACACTACATTTGTATAGTATAACAGCACAATACGTTTTGTCTTCGGAATCTCAAGAGATACTCATATAACCCAGTATTATACTAAGTTGAAGTGGCTCTATCCATCCAACCGCCGTCTGTACTTCCTTGCTACCTTTCTATACCAAGCCATCAGAACTCAGCGACATTCCTATATTTTTCACAGCCTACAATTTAAATATTCTATTCAATTGCGTCCCACTATATCCCGTATTTCTGACCTCTGCCCACCTCCTCATCGAACTGCTGCATTTGACAAATCCTTTATAATTCAAGTCGTCTCCATCTGGAATACCATCCCTCCCGATATCCGACATGTTTCCTCATTTAAATCTCTGCTTTTTAAGCACCTACTTCTTTCCAAACCCGACTGATCAAGAAAAGTAGATAACAGAACTTTTTAAGTTCTCCCAGAAATGATTTTGTTTACTTATATTATTTTATTTTCATATGTTTGTATTATATATATATATATATATATATATATATATATATATCTGTATATATTTAGTGTTTTTGTTTTAATTTTCTTCCAATATTTTAACTTGAATGAGAATTGTAAATATTTAATTTTATTTTATGGCTACACAGGCATTTTCTCTGTATCTATAATTTGTCCTAAAGGGACATCAGTCCCAGGATAATAAAAATCTATTTTCATTTCATTTCATTGTTCAACCCAAAATCACTCCAATATTCTGGTTCTTTCTATCTCCTGCTCCCTGTTACCTGAACAACGCAGATTAAGAAGAAAATGGCCAAGAGACCGACTATATCGATAAAAACAAAAACAAGCAAATACACCAAGACAGTATAAATACAACAAATTTGCTAGATAAGCAGCCGCGCAGGTGCAAATTGCATAAAATATAAATAAATAAATAAAAATAAACAAAATCTAAATAAAATAGAAATTTAAATTATAATTTACCTTAAGACCATTTATGATTTCTGGTTCAACTCTAACAATATCCCTGTGTGGTCTGAGACCTACAATTTCCTTAATGACTGGAGCAGTAGTCAATTTCGGGACTATCCTGGTGCACCTATCCCAGATGGAAGCAGAATCATATTTGTCCACGGCGGTATTCCAGCTGCCGTAGTTCTTCGTACCGCCAAGAGTGGCTGCCGAGAAGCCTGGTATGATGTAAGTAGTATGCTCCGCTAGATAAAATTTGTCAAGCCAAGGAGCATTTACCTAGGATTAAAAGACATTTTTTGCTTTTATTAAAAAATAAAAATTAATTCTTAATAATATAAAAAAATAATATCAATTACGAAACATAAAGTAGATATACTGATGAGACAAATCAGAAAAAAAATCTATTAAATTTCTTCGTTTTTCTTTCTTTATATCCATGAATGGAGTACCGTTGGATTCAGAATTTCACGGGGGGTTAGCGAATCGTATTCTCTGCTTTTGTTTTTCTTTCTAAAATAAATAAAGTCGATACAAACATTTTGCTAGGCTTCAATACTGGAACGGTGTTAGGTCTGTAGATCGATACGGGACAAATTGGACCTTGAAGATTTTGACGCGTATAGCAAGACCCGGATAGTTCCTCCGATCCAGATATATCCAGCAGATAGATCCAGGAACTATCGGATCCTGCATTTTTAAGCCAAAAAACGTACTATTTTCGAGATAACACAAGGCAAAGGATAGGGTTAGCATCCATACAACCTTAGGTTGATTGTAGTACTGTCATTGAATAGATGTCTCATTTCGTTGACTTGAGGTCTCTATGATCGAGAAAGAAGGAGTTTATATTTTTTATCGATGGTGTTTTTGATTGGCAAGCCATATCAACGTTAACTCTTCACCAAATCTCAAGATTGAGCCACCAATTTCGAAGGCTTCCTTCTCCTTCAGGCGGGCAAAATAGTTCAATCACCCCGAAAATTCAGGCAAAGAAGTTATGAAAGAAAATAAACTTTATTTGCAAATAACTAAAAAATTACACACTTTTCCTTTCTTTATGCCCATGAATATATAAAAGATTGCTAAATTCCCTACAAAAGGAAAAAAAAATCATTGAAATCGGATAATTTTTAGGAAAGTTACAGCTTATTGAAATTTGTAAACATTTTGGTTCCAAACAAAAATGAAGATTTAAATTAATTTTTGTAACCTTTGTCGATTATATTTATCGATAAAGTAACATTTGATTTCTTTATCTTTTCATACATTGCGTTATTTTATTTTCTTATTAATTTGGCATTTGATAAAAATATTCTGTGCGAATCTTTCGCACGGGCCTACTAGTTTCTTTACTAATAATGTAAATTCTAAAGCCATAATATAAAATTTGGTGCCTCACAAGAATAAACCTAACCTCAGATTCAGTTATTTTAACAAAAATACTTTACATAAATTACATAAAAATCTGTAAATTTTCACAACTGAACCAAAGGGATCCAGAAAAAAGGAGTTTTTAGTACAATCAAAAAATAGTAATGGAGAATGTGAATTTGAAATTTTTTATCTTTAGTTTTAATTTTAAAATAAAATAAAATCATCTAAAAAAATTAAATTAATGATCAGTCATCCACATCTCATTTTTATTTTTATTTTGTATGTAAAGATAAAGTTTCTCCATTAAAGAATTATTTTATAGTAAATTTTCTGATTATTTTACAAATTACTATTTTTCTAAAATAACTTATGTTGGATATATGAATTTTTTTTTATCCGGAAAACTAGGAAAAAAATATATTATTTTAATTTTATTATTCAAATATAATTTTAAGTATAATTCAAAAAATAATGATCTTAACATTTAAATTATGAACTTATATCAAATATATAATATAGTAATTTTTACCTTATAAACTTGCCCTCTCATCGGAGTTAATCTTCTATCATTGCACAATGCTCTCGCCCCAAGACCAGTACAATTCATGATTAAATCAAATTTTCCAAAGTTTTCAACCTCAGAAAAGCTGTCAATTCTTCCAGTAACAAACTGCCCACCATTTTGTTTAAACCTAACAAATTTTCATAACAGAGGTTTTTATCAATACTTTACGAAAATTCCTTTAGTTCAGACAGATGATTTAGACCAAAATTGATGAATCAGTTAGGTGTACATTGATTTACATACCTATGCATAGCCCAAGGAAGGTAGCCACGACATTCAATCAAATAAGTCTTGAGATAAGAACCATATTTCCAATCGCCAGGTGAAATCGAAGCAAGCTCATCATCGTCAACTGTACGAAATACAGGTACCAGACCTTCCATAAACCGATTCTATAAAGAAAATATTGGCAACTGGTTAGTATCAGATATTGAATTGTTATAACCTAATCTTTATTGATAAATAAAAATTGAAATTTCATGCAATATCTCAATTCTCCCTAAAAAGAGAAAATTTATCTAAATTCGTCTTCATGTATATTCTAATAGGATATATGAAGAAAATGAACAGCGTTAGAAAAATCTCTATTACCCTGGTCGCTGTCCAGCTACTTTTCGCTAGGATGTATCCAGATATTTCCTTAATTCCAATCCCAGACTCATCTTTTAATGCTTCATAATAATGGTAAGAATCATCGATCCATTCTCTGAAACAGATTCATTCTTTACAGCCATTTTCTCAATACACATATACAATATTCTAGACATTAATTCTAATTTACCTCTAGTTGGGAACAAGAAAAGTAAATCTTAAAGTTCATTAGGCATAAAAATTAAAATAAATAATAGATAGAAGCATGAAATTAGTAAATCTATATATCTAAAAATGAATGTATGTCTGTCTGTTTGTCCTTTATGCATTACTAAACCATTTTTGATTGATAATACCTATTTATTTGAAAGATTCCTGAATTGCCGACAAAATAAATTGAAATTATCATTTGAAGAAGTGATATGATTCTCCTTGTGTAGGCCAATACTATTATACCCTCTTTAAATCCATTTGTTATTTGGCTCCCAATGTATTCTGGAAGTAGTATGATACATGTCAAATATTGTATTTGCTATTATTTAAAAATGTTTAACTCTTGAGTAACAATTATCTCCGTTTATGTTCCTTTTAGAAATCAGTTATTTATTGATTTCAGTTTATTTTATTTTATAATAAATTATTTTCTCTAACATTAAGTTGGAATAAGGTTGTTCCGTTTACTGTAGGGTTTCTTTCATGAGTAAGGTTTATTTTTTCACTACAACTTTTACAACTCTATATTTAATCAAGTCGTTATTAAGAAGAAGCAAGCAATCAACTATCTTAGGAGGGGTATGCGAAATATTTTGAGGAAGCTGGAAGGCAGCTCTAATGCACACAAAAGGAACGCTATTTTATATGGTATAGCACAATTTCAATGCTTTGCCACTGTTGATATTTGAAAATCTTTAACATTGAAACAGTATCATAAAATATTTTGAACCGCATGTGTTGCTTTCACATCCAACTGATGGTGCATTTTTAATAAAAATATATAGTTTCTCCTTAAATTTTATAAAAATAGATATAATAAACCATGAGCGTATTTAAATGCAATGTTAAACCAAAATTTCAAGGCAATGGGTGAAGAACTTTCCGAGATTTAAGAGTTTGAAAAAACAAACATAAAATGATCAACACAAAGTTGAACATTAAACAATACATTTAAAAAAAAAGATAATAATAAAATTAAATATGAAAATATATGAGTGGCTTCATATAAAAGACGGATCTCTGTCATTTTCAGGAAGCGGAGATAAAGTCAATTTTACTTTTATAAGTTCAACTCAGACTGTTTCTTATTATTAAGAATGATGGCGTATTCAGTCTGATGATTAAGAATGTTCAAGTTGAATCATGAAAAAATATCATTAGAATTAGTTTAAATTGAAGCCATTTTACAGACAAATTTGTTTCCCAACTTTTTAAAAATGACAGATGTCCTTTGCTACTAATCTACTCATATGTGCTTTCTATTTTCTTTCTTTTCCATTCTGCCAGGCTAAGCCACAACTTAGCCACAGTGACCGGGTAAAGCTAGTTATATAATAAAAACTGAGAGAGGAAGTTAAAATGAGCACTTTTCCTGGACAGCAAAGTTTAAAGAGGGAAATTTTATTTTTAAGTTTGTAAAAAATTTGTTTTTGCTTTGTTATTATTTCAACCTTAATTCAGTCAAAAAAATTAAATAATGTTTAATTTAACCTATAATGTAATATAAAGTATACAATAATTATGAACAAAATATAGTATTTAAATAAAAATATATCTTAACTTTTTATATAAGCACTTAAGGTATCCTGTTTTTATAAAGAAAGAAAAAAATGTTAAAAATTCAGTTGGATAATAAGAATTTGAAGATATGAATCGATCTTAAAACACACAAGGATTAAAGTATTTCATTATCTCAGTTACTTCCTGATTTAAGATATCTAGTTTAGAATTTGATATAAGCATTAAACCTTTTTTGAAAGATATTTTCCCAATTCAGATCATACTAATTTTTAAAATTTAAATTTGTCATGAAATCCATTTATTAATTGCTCAATATTTTCTATAAACATAATTTTCACTTTTTATATTCACTCTAAGTTCAGCAATGATAAAGGGAACACCTTTTCTAATTTATCATTTTAAAAAAATGCTACATAGTCAGTTATATTAATTTAATTAAAATTGATAGAGATCGGAAAGTCATTTTCAAATATATTTAAAAGCGGGACTTCATGTTTCTCAATAAAATTATATTCACAGGTCAACAAATTAATTATAATTTTTCTCAATTTTTTAAATTTTAATATCAATCTAATGAAAAGATATAATTTTTATTAAAATAAAAACATATATTATTACTTAAAATATTGCATATAATTAGCAGTAACAACGTCTCATCTCTATTTTACAGAATCACTTTTAATCATAGAGAGCTCCCCAAAAAATTTAAATTCCTCAACTCATATGCTTATTCCAAGGATATTATTGGTGAATAATTTCAATTCAAAATCATAAACTCTTTAACAAATATTATTATATTGAGTACCTATATTACTCATTCTCTACAACAATATCTTAATTCGAAAATCATGAACTTTTAGCAGAGCATCAGTTCCGAACATTTAAGACTGATAATGCCATTTTTCCAAATTATAGTTTCACACATTTTGTATTATAGTTTTACAGAAATTAATATAGTACTTAAAAATTCAAATACATCTTCTGAAAAATCTCGGATTTTGATTTATGATGTTATAGTGAATAAACAATATTTCAAAAATTTCTATGTATCAAATTTTATTCTGTAATCTTAAATTTTTACATATTAAATAATATGCTTATATATCAACAAAAAAAATTCACATTTAATAAATAAACTAGAATTTTAGTGATTCCATAACAAAGGGAGAAAATGTTTTAAAAAAATATATAATTTATTTATTTTTATGAAATACATAGGTCTTAATTTAACAAATATGATAAGTGAAAACAGTAAAAAAATTATGTAACAAAAAAACACTTTGTACAGTTTTTAAACAAAGATTTATCACATAGCTTTCCGATATGAATAACCAGACAACCCAAAATTGGTAGTTTTAAAATGTTTGTAAATTTGAAGTGCGAGTGAATTTTTCTTGTATCTTTGGTTAATGTGTTTTTTATTATATTTTCAGTTCAAAAACACATTAAGAAAAAAAAAAGAAATTAATAATTACAACCATATCAATTGAGATGATCCCAAAAGTTCCAGTTTTGATTTGTGCAGATATATTTAAAAGCCAAGATTAACAGCAAACAAATTGTTTATTGAATGTATGATTTACGGTATGGTGAATATGTTAGCCTTTTGATACCACTACAACCCACGAAGAATCTTGGATTCAGTACTTTGTTAAGGATATACCCTTAATAGAGGCTAGATATGCCTCATAAGACTCTTCCAACCCCATTTAATCCACAGGTAATATATCAGTAATGTATTTATTATTTTATGTAGTTATATGTGGAAGTGAGTACTGGACACTCAACGAAAGAAAAATTCTTCATAGAATTTATGGCCCAACCAAAGAAGAAAATCTTTGGTGTATGGAAACAAGTGACGAGCTGAAGAAGCTATATAATGCCCCAGACATTATATCCACCATAAAGAGGGGAAGGATAAGATGGATGTGTCATGTGCAAAGAGTGGATCATGGTAGGCTCCCTAAAATGATGATGGAGGAACATCTGGGCGGAAGAAGGAAAAGAGGCAGGCCTAGACTTCGTTGGCTGGAAGACGTTGAAAACTATCTAAGGAGTCTGCGTGAAGGCAGATGGAGAAGGGCGGCCGAAGACAGGTTGGTTTGGAGGAATATAGTAGAGGAGGCCAAGGTTCTACAAGGACCATAGCGCCATCGGATGATGATGATGATAATACAACCTTTACTCTACAGAATTATCATTAAATGTTATTGAGCAATAGCAGGATCTGAATTATTAATAACTAAAGGATTGGTTCCGTAGAAGGAGGCTCCTCTACACTGAGAAGCACAGAAAATAATAGAAGAAGAAATATTTCTAAAATTTGCATCAATTACTACATCTTTATTTGATTCTTATTCATAGCTTAGGATTATCAGAAATTTTTTTTCTTATTAGGAGTTTCCACTAATAGTGAGTGGGTTTCTTAACCTAAACCTAGGATGGCTTCTTTCCATAATATCCTATCTAAGGTCCATTCTTCCCGTAAACCATGACCCATCATGCATTCCTTCACTTCGTTATCCCAGGTTTTCCTCGTCTTCTTCATTCCCTAGCTTACCCCTAAGCCGAAGACAGGTCGATTTGAAGGAAGATAGTAGAAGAGACTAAGGTTCTAAAAGGATGATCGGATGATGATAATTTATTTTTCAATAAATAGTTTAACTTCTAACTATTTTATATCTCTAACATTTATTTTATCTGTATAGAAATTAACAAGTAACAACCCCAGTGTTTTATTTTATTTAATTTATGCTGTTGGATTTAATATTCTAATGTAATCTGATTTGTTCAAGATGAGTGAATTATATACCGGTTGCCAAACTGTTCTAATCTGAGTTGAGATGTTGAGGTTTATTAATTATTTCCAGATAAATATTAACCTGATAATTCAATAAAAATTTATAAGATAATTCAAGACAAGCTTCTGTGGACTCTTGGCTCTCATTAAATACCATAATCAAGATAAATATAGTAAAAAATTATATATTAATATAGATAAATATCTTTCATACATACTGTGTGATTTGGGGATTAGGTCCTGCGAAGTAGTCGGCAGGAATGAAGATACCAGCCGCTTTATCACTGGTCGTATCTTCTAAGAACTTGTCAGCAATGATAGTGACCTTAACATTTCTAATCTGTTTCTGAAGTTCAAGAGCTGTGTTTAGACCAACTATGCCTGAACCGAACACTCCAATATGGCAGTCTCCCATTATTCAGAGTGATTAACCTGACATTAAAAAAAAAAAAAAAAACAGATTGAAAGAAAGAGAAAATCAACATAACAAAAATAGATAAAAATAATTACAGCAGAAAAATAAATAGTTTATATATACAGTTACAGGAACTCTAAACATCCAAAAATAAAAAGATCAGATAATATGATAGATTCTATCATAAATCATAAACTTATTAATAACTTTGTCTTGCACAATTATGAGGTATATCATGTTAGTATATTATTATTTTTAACAAATGTATATAAAATAATTTATATTAAAAAATGACTGGGTTATGATGGAACCTATAATAGAAAAAAAATAAGAAAAATCTTAAATTAAGTCATACTTTTTCTTTTCAAAGAAAGAAGTTTTAAAACCATCTGAAAGTTTTTCCTTTTCTTTTCTTTTTATTTATTTTTTTTTTGTTATTATATATAATCATATTATGCACAACCAACATATATAGCTATAAATAAATATATACAGTTATAATTAACAGGGTTGATAACCAACATCTTTTAAGCATTAACTTCACAACAGCCAACCGACAACAAAGTTGTTTTTTAAATAATATTTTTTATTTGAAAGTTTTATTAATCACATAGCAAAATGTTTTTCTGAAGTTTTCATTAATTGAAATCTGATTCTTCTCTGCTTTTAGTTAATTTAAAAATTTGTTTTGTTATTATATTTTTTTTTTATGAAAAATAGTCCCGTACATCTGTTATATAAAAAAAAATATTGTTTGATGTAATAAAATAATTGCATGTGAAAATTGTTTCTATACAAAAAAATTTTCTAGATCGCAATACTTACCCTTACTATATGTTACATATATACGTAAGTGAAAGTAAAAATATTTAAAAATCACGATATCTCTACTAATAGTATGCTTCGATTTCGATGAAACTTCTTTTGTTTTTTAGGCAATTTAAATACCTTTAAGTCATTATGATTAAATCCAAACCATGAAATGGTATGAGCTTCCCTTTATAGAGCAAGTATTCTAAACACTAATGCTCCACAAATCAGATCCCAGAGGTTTATATTTTAAAGGAGAAATATAACGAGTTGTATTAGCCCAAGAGCCAAGTCGAAATTTCGTGACTTATTAGAAGAAAACTTTTAGTCATAAACTGTTTTAATGTCATCAGCATTCAATTTTCACAAATATGCCGATTCAAAGCATAGGGGAAATTGCCTAAGGGGAAACCCAAATGCCTAAAAATTTAATCATTTTATTTATTTATTCATTAATTATTCAATAATTTTAAATAAGATTTCTTTCAAGGCATCTGAAACTTTCCATCCCCTTCCCAAGAATATAGGTGCATATTTCTAGAAAGCCATCCTCTTCCCCCTTCAAATAAAAATATTGAACGACAATATCATTTTGTCCCACAATAATTTGAAGTGAAGAGCATCAATAAAATTAATAAATAAACTTAAGGGCTTACACTTGAGGTAAACAGAGTTGTGAGATATTATGGAGAAAGTTTTTTATAGACATTTTTACATACCTAATCAGACTTTGAAAATATTGTTTTATTTTGAGACAGTATAAATTAATAAATGTAAAATATTTTTCAGTTTTTAACATGATTTGTTTTTAGGTGAATAAATTATAGAAATGTAGCTTTATTATGGAGACTGTCTTCTTCTCCTCATGTTTAAATAAATACATATATGTAATATATTTAATTTTTTTTTTAGATATTGTCAAATATATCCATAGTAAAAAAAAAATAAATAAAACTTACAACTATACAAATTTATTTGAGAATGAGTTGGTCAGTGGTGCAGTCGATATATAATATTAAATAATAATAATAATAGTATTTTATTGGATTTGCCGACGTTTCAATCTACATTGTGGGTCTTCATCAGAGAGTTGTATATGGCACTGCTGGAAGCAGCTGGGAAACTCAGTCAGGGCTGAGTGAATATATAATACATTGACCGCACCCCCGTCCAACTTATTCTCAAATTATAATCACGGTCAACTATCTCCATACCATATATAAATTTATTTTTAAAAGCTTTGTATTTTATTTTGTTTTAAATAAGTCTAATCTCTTTCTTCATTATTCTAACTGAAAATCAACTTATATTTTTACTTCAATTTACATTTATAACCTAAATTTTTTAATTATTTAAGCAGAATAGAAGAAATATAATGTAATTAAATAGTTAAAAATTAAAATTGTTTTTAATGAATTATTTTTTGCTTAATACTTTTGCACAAAAAATACTGTGCCTAAAAATGGAAAAATATATCATAAAATTAAATTAAATTCCATACAATTTTTTTAAAAATATTTTATATCACAAATATATGACATTTTATAATTTATAGACTATGTGGTTTATGTTCGCTTAGTTGTCATATAATTTACCATGTATAATAGATAAGTGGTTAAGCTAAAGTAAACATGAGACTTTTATAAAGAAATTCTACCAGACTCTTCAATTAATTCAATGATCATAAAAATAATTTGAGGTAATAAATAGAGATTAAAATTTTCTAGTTAACAATAAAAATAAATATAAATTCTTAATGCAGTTACAGATGTAGAGTAGTTAATACTATTTAGATAGTTGTATAATATATAATACTTATAATATATAAGTTAATGTGAAAATAAAAAAAAATGTTACCTTAACTTATTACCTTTTGAAGATCAATGTATATTTAAACGCCACGAGTTCGTTTGTTCGCTTTATAAGTGGAAGGAATAGAATTGTTTGAACTTGATAAAATGAAACCCTCTGCATTATTGTTATCTCTCTAAGCCCCGAAAGATACACAAGAATTAATTTTTTTAATTCCAAGGTTTGTTTCTTCATTTTTGTTCTAGACATTTTACTTTCCTTGTTTCTAAAAAAAAAAAAAAAAAAAAGAAAAATAGATGTATTAAAATGATTGGCATATTTTCCTTTATATATTTAAGCATTCATTCAATCGTTCATTTCAAACAGATTAGTTTTAAAACATTATATTAATTCTTCTTTTTTTTTTTGCTGGGAAGTTGTGTGTTATTCTCTGTTTTTGGCAATAATAACTTCCAATTAAACAAGAATTGATTTATTTGTTGTATTTCCAAGTTTTCATGTTTCTGTTTCGGGATATTTACTCCCATCTTCAGAACTACAATCTCATGTATCTTTGTTGATTCATGGCTAAAAATGAGTTAAATATAATGCATGTCAGAATTGAGTTGTTACATTAAATTTGTAATTACCTTAAGTCTAATGTGCTCCATTGTCAGTTTCTAAATTCAAGTTATAACAAATTAAAGTAAATAGTATCCAGATAGTATAGTATGTAGATATTATAGTATGTAGGATCATCATGCCTTTAGACCAATTATTGGGTATCTGCTATGGTGAATACAATTGACCTTTGGATATGACTATTTATTTTTTACTATTGTTGTTAAAAATAATACAAAAAACACAACAGCTTTAGCACATCACAGCATAAAATTACAACATAAATTCAACTTCAATAAACCACATATATTAGGCACAGAACCAAAAATCAGCAATAGAAAATTATTGAAGCCATACACATCACAACAAACAATAGAAAAACATAAATTACAAAGCACACCAAACCTTTGGGTACACATTAAGCTGATTTATTAAACAAAATTAAAATTTAGTAAAAATGAAATTGCAACTAAATAAAAAAAAAAAAAACATTTAACAAGAATAGTAAAAAATAAATAGTCATATCCAAAAGTCAATTGTATTCACTATGGCAGACACCCAATAATTGGTCTAAAGCCATGATGTTGCTCTGGATACTGTATACTATAATTTGTTATAACTTGAATTTAGAACCTGACGACAATGGAGCACATTAGACTTAAGGTAATTACAAATTTAATGTAACAACTCAATTCTGACATGTATTGTAACATGCATTGTATTTAACTCATTTTTAGCCATGAATCAACAAACATACATGGGATTGTAGTTGTGAAGATGGGAGTAAATATCCCGAAACGTAAACATGAAAACTTGGAAATACAACAAATAAATCAATCGTTGTTTAATTGGAAGTTATTATTGCCAAAAACAAAGGGTTATTTTAATTTTCCAAACTGAAAAATAGGCTTAGGTTAAAAAAAATTTATAGTTATTTTTATCCAACTATCCAGTAAATATCATGTCCAATGAATTATCATTAAAAATGTCTAAATGAAAGTCTCACAGGTTATTTCATAAAACTGAGATTATTTTTAAACTTTATACCAGAGAATTTTGTCTTAATTAATTTGTTTTTATATCTTAAGATAAATGTACTAGCAATAGACACTTTAAGAGAAATTATCAACGTTAATATGAACCACAGTTTTAATTCTTAAGGTGGATCTTTGTGAATGCGTTTAATTAACAGCAAATTTAGCCTTTTATTGAATTTTTTTCTTCTATAAAGTCAATTAGTTAATTATTCATCAAAAACTTAATAAATTCTGACAGCATTTATTGCACAGTAATAGACAATCAGATTTTGTTGTCATTAGTGTTTTATAGAATCATAAAAAGGCAAAATAAATTCTGCACAACTTTAAACTAAGAAATGGTAAACTAATTATGAAAATCAAAATTTCAAAGTTATCTCCGTAAGAAAAGTGTTAAGAAAACCTCGCTGAATAAAGCTTCAGTCTTTCTTCATTAAAAAATCAACTGCCAATCCACGATCGTGGTATATCACTTAAGATTCAGGCAGCACCCTCCTAAGTGTTTTAACTGCGATTCTCCTGATATTTGTATATATTTACTCATTGTATACTAGTGCAGTGTCTATTACTGATGGGAAGTCTAAATATTTTTTATAGGTTTCAGTCATTATTAATTCAATTGCGAATTTCTTAACTTTTTATTTTAAGAAATGTAATTAATTTTTGTCTAATTCTTAATATTTTTTTTATTTATATTTTTTAAATTTTTTATCAATTAATTTAATATTAATATATTTCCATTTTTTTTTTTTTTTTTTATGTTAGGATATTTAATTGATTGTTTTTTTCTATTTCTAATTTCTAGTTTTCTTTATTGATAAATGTCAATAAAGTGATACCTTTATTGTATTAACTATAAGCAGAGATGGATAAATGCTAATCTGAGTACCGAGCACTAAGTATTTTACTCAAATTGTATCACTATTGGGAATTCAATCACTACCCCAGTTAATTGTTTGACATCAACTGAAGTAGTGATTAAATTCTTTGGTACTCAAAAAAGGTCGGTATTTAAGTAATATACCCGGTACTCGGTACTCAGAGAAGCATTTGCCCATCTCTGCCTATAAGTAATACTATTAGCGGAACCAGTATATAATTTTGGGAGCTTCTGCCCGAAAGCTTCTTTTTTTTTTCATATATATATAGGGGTATCCGTGCGGGCTAAGGTGCTTGCAATAGCTTATCAAAGTTAAGCAACACCGAGCGTGGTTAGCACTTGGATGGGTGACCACCCACTATGGAAAGCGACGCTACCGTGATTCCTCCCTCGGGTATGTGAGGCCCATCAGCCTACTGGAGGCAACTCACACACTGACCGGGCTGTGACTGATAGGACTAATACCCTCCCCCCAACGTGCACTTTAATCGGGATTCGGGATGTGGTCTAGGACCACATCTCTTGGTCAAAGATCTTAGTAATCTGTAGCGCCAACAAAAAAAAAATATATATATACACACATATGTATAATTGTAAATGATAATTAATTTGGAAAAACAAGAAAGATCCTAACTACCTATATGAAATGGTGTTTAAGTGATTCTTGAAGTCCTATTAAATGTAATTAACCGAGCAATAATAATTTAAGAGATACCTTTTTAATATTTTTTACCATAAAACATAGTCACATTTTACCATTTTGGGGGGGCTCCAGTCCGAAAGCCTCTCCCCCTTCTTGTAGATCAGCCTGTGGCGCAGTGTCTATTACTGATGGATGTAAATTTTTTTTATAAGTCTAAGTCATCATTAATTCAATTGCGAATTTCTTTTATTTTTTATTTTAAAAAATTCAATTCATTTTTGTCTAATGCTTATTATTTTTTTAATTGTGGATTGATTGTTGACTGTAAGAAATAATTGAAGAGAAGACTGATTTGGGTGGTCAGTCTTCTCTTAAATTAATTTTTTTTTTAATTTTTGGTATTTAATTTAATATTAATATAGAATGAAGAGAAGAATAGTTGGGGTGATCAGTCAAATAAGCAGGCAAAAATAAATGATAATATTTATTTTGACATTTTCTGACGTTTCGACCTGAAGTTCAGGCCTTCATCAGGGCTAAGAAAAGAACCAGATAACAAGGTATGAGAAACATAAGTAGTGTAGGTAAAAAAAAAAACTAACTAAGAACTAAGAAGTAAATAATAATAACTGTTACAAAGTGTGGAATGATGAAGTAAACATAATCAAAAAAGGTGACATAAGTATTAAAATGGGAATCTTACAATAAAATGTAAAGCAGAAAAATATGAAGTTATATTATTATTTCTTATATTTATATATATTTATTATTTCTTTTATTTATATTATTTCTTATATAACTTCATATTTTTCTGTTTTACATTTTATTGTAAGATTCCCATTTTAATACTTATGTCACCTTTTTTTATTATGCTTACTTCATCATTCCACACTTTGAACAGTTATTATTATTTATCTCTTAATTCTTACTATTGTCATTATTCTAACAACTGCATTTTACTTTAATTTTTTTACCTACACTACTTATGTTTCTCATACCTTGTTATCTGGTTCTTTTCTTAGCCCTGATGAAGGCCTGAACTTCAGGTCGAAATATCAGCAAATGTCAAAATAAATATTATCATTTATTTTTGCCTTCTTATTTGACTAATCACCCCAACTATTCTTCTCTTCATTATTCACGACACTCAACCATTTACCCACAATTAATATTAATATACTTCCATTCTTTTTCATGTTAAGATATGTAATTGTTTTTTTATTCTATTTCTAATTTCAAGTTTTCTTTATTGATAAATGTCAATAAAATGAACTTTTATTTTCATGAATAATACATACTGCTAGCACCATGTTTAAGTAATGAATGTGTAACATAAAATAAGCTCACATTATTTTAAAATGGTGCCAAAGATGTTAAAAATCTAAAGGTGATTTTAAACATTCCACATACTATGGGGAACCAAAAAATTTAAATGGGTGCTTAACTAAGCTAGTGTTTTTTTTTTTTTTTTATATTTTCCATCTGCTGCTGGTAACAACAGAAATAAAAAAAAAAAAGTTGGGCTTAGCTATTTGTTAAGTTAGATGATTGTTTCTAATAGATTGTGAAATGTCTAAACGCACCTTAAGTCTTAAAGGTAATCCTCTTCGCTTTATTTTAAAGATTAAAAAACATGAGGACCGAAAAACCAATATCTTTATTGGTATTTCGATATATTTTATAACTATCGATAATATATTTACATTATCGATATTATAATAATTATAAACTGTTATTTATAATCTATAGAGTTATAATATAAATCAAAATTAGAAACCATACTTATTACAGAGCTCGAAACGACTTTTGGCCTCGTTCTCTTGTTACGGTTTCGGTTGTGGTTTATCGTCCACCGAAGGTTATGTCATAGACCAGAAGCTGTCAACGGCGTTCACGAAGGTAAGGGTACTCAGAAGGGGACACATTTTTACAAGATTTTGAATTTTCAAGAGGGGGGATATTTTTATGGGTTTTCGATTTGGAAGAACATTCAAACCAGAGAACAAGAGTAAAACATGAAAAATACCACAGGTACTATATTATATTGTACTATTTTAAAGAAGAGAAGAGCGACACAGTTTCTTGGGGAGGAAGGGTCATTGG